TTGATCAGGATGAAAAACTGATTAAAAACTTGGCAAGAGCCAAGGTGGCGCAGTGGTTAGGGTGCAGTACTGCAGCCACTTCAGCTGACTGCTAGTTCTGCAGTTCAGTGGTTCAAATCTCACCGGCTCAGGGTTGCCTCAGCCTTCCATCCTTCCGAGGTGGGTAAAATGAGGACCCAGATTGTGGGGGCACTATGCCGACTCTGTAAACCGCTTAGAGAGGGCTGAAAGCCCTATGAAGCGGTATATAAGTCTAACTGCTATTGCTATTGCTATTGATTAATATTTCATTTCATCTAAGTTCACCTAATGTGCATTTTGTATGTTTTCCCACAGGGTAGCAGCTTATGGTATATACTAAATCACCAATATTTGAATAATTAAAATACACAAAACACCTTAATGAAATAATAAACAGTGCAGGGGTGGTGATGGCACTTATGTAACTCATCAAACATTTATAATTGACAGGACACGTAGGTATCTGGAAAGTCTGAGAGATATCAAATCAGTAACTGACCCCTTGCTTTTAACTATGTTCTCCTTTTCTTATATCAGCATCCAAATCCTTCGGGAATGTAGAAGAGGCACGCCGTTTATACAGCGTCATATCCCTCGCAAAATCCATCCTTAAGATGTCCTGTTTCTTCCCGCTTCCCTTGACCCATTGACGGGAGCGCACGTGTGTTTATTTACATTTATTTATGTCTGCATGATTTAAACACCGTTTTCTCCCAGTCCGACTTCCATGCTTCTTTTGACAGTAGGAAGAAACGCATCCGGGGAAAGTTTACTTTCTTTCCTCCGCTTTTCCCCACGTGGTGAATTTCTGCAGCGAAGTGAAAAGGATCGTGGGATCCCCGCCTTCCTCTCTCTCTCTCTCTCTCCAAGGAAAAACGAGGTTCGGCATTGGTTCAGCATGTCGGGCGCCCGCAAACAACCTACGGGAGGCAGGTGGACTTTCCTGGTTTTTTTTCTTTTTCTTTGAAGGCGTTTTGTTTTTCATCCAAGACGCTTCTCCAGCTCTAACAGGATAGTGGGAAATGGCAGGATTTATATTCCTTGCAGACCACTGGTGATCTGCATCCTTAATCTGAGTATAGGAGCACTACTCAGGTGACCGTGAGGACAGAGCTAAACCTCCAAGTGCTTCAACGACTCTCTGAAAGGATGCAGACGATGCAAGGAATAAAGCACTAGCAATAGGACTTAGACTTATATACCGCTTCGCAGTGCTTCTACAGCCCTCTCTAAGCGGTTTACAGAGTCAGCCTATTGCCCCCAACAATCTGGGTCCTCATTTTACCCACCTCGAAAGGATGGAAGGCTGAGTCAACCTTGAGTCTCCTTCCATTCCCCACTATCCTGTCAAAATTGAAGAAGCGTCTTGAGTGAGAAGCGAAACGTCTTCGAAGGAAAAAAAAAACCCCAAGAAAGTCCAGTTGCCTCTTGGAAAAAAAAGCACCTTTGAGACAACCATGACCTGGATGCCTGAGCTTCTCTACAGAACCTTCAGGTTAGCAACCCAGCGTGACCCGCGGAGACACGCAACCGCATCCCCACGTTCTCGAGGGCCGCGCGTGTGCTCGCGAAAAAGCCCGCCACCTTTTCATCTCTCCGTCTGGTCCCCTGCAGTTTCCACTTTCTCCAACCTTTGAAGAGACGGGACCGGGCCAGCGATTAGCCTGCGGGGACCGACGCGGTGGCAGAGTCGCCGCCGCTCCGCCTCCCCTCCCCTCCCGGAGGCAGCGCCGCCTCTCTCGCCCCAGGTGGCTCCCCGCGAACAGGAAGTCGCCGCGCCGCGCCACGAACGGGGCTTCACGCTCTGGGAGCGAAGCTGCAGCCGTGCAGGGCCAGAAAGGGGAGGGGGGGGGGCGAGAGCTGCAGAAGTGGCGAGCGCTCCCACTTTCGCGGGTGCAAACGCTTCTTCCTGCCACGCGAGGTGGCGGAGGGAGATTCCAGAGATTCTCGGGGCAAACGACCTCCTAGGACCTAGGGGATTCCCCTCCCCCCCCCTCCCCCCAGAACTTTAAAGGAAGTGTGCATTTTATTATTATTATTATTATTTTTTGCGAGTTGCATGGTTCAGACGAGCGGGGCGTTCGCGTTCACTCTTACGATTGCTTGCGAAGCGGAGGGCAGAATTGCCTCTCCCGTGTTTTTTCTGCCTCTCTTCCCCATTTAAAATTGTAAAGAGATCGCCCTTAGACGTTAGAGATGGCTTCCAGTCCAAACGATTCGGATCCGAACTCCCAGCAAGGGGACGATGATCCGAATCCCCGTATCAGTCCTCAAGAAGAGCTGGACTTCTCAATTTTATTTGATTATGACTATTCGCAGCCAGTAGCAGGTTTGTGACTTTGGATTTTATTCCTATTATTAGTCGTGTGCGTTTATGACTATCGACACCTTCAAGCTTCAGAGATGCTTTTCAAGAGAACTTGGGAGGGCTGGGTTTGGAATGGAGGGGGGTTTCTGAAGCAATGGTCACCAACCAGTGGTCCTTGGACCACTGGTGGTCCCGGATAAAATTTTGGTGGTCTGCAGGAAAATTATTTGCATTTTTTATATTGCACTAAAATACTATTTATCTTTTTTTTTTAAAAAAAAAAATCGTATTAGTGGTCTGTGGGATTTAAAATTATGAATTTAGTGGACCCTGAGATCCGAAAGGTTGGTGACCCCTGTTCTGAAGGATGCGTGGTCCCAAGGGCCAAGGAATAGTCATTGGGTGGCTGGGATCAGATCATGTTTCTTTAGCACTTGAGTTGAAAACTCTAGCTTATCAAGAGTTGGACTGGACTGGACTGGCCTTGTGGCCTGTACAGGAAAAAGTGGTTTTCTGCAATTAACCCTAAAGAGGGCAGTAGGGAAACTTTACAATGTTTGCTGAGGTTAATTGGGATCATGTGCAGTTAGGAAAGTTTACCTTTCTTCCATCAGATTGGGTTGAAAGTCTGCCTACATCTTTCTGTTTATCTCTAGAGGGATGGATAATTAGAAGCTCTGATTGCTGATTTTTTTTATAGGATGGGCAAATCTAACAAGCAAAAGCAGAAAGGGAACAGTGAAGAAAAAAAAAATATTGTACCAATAGATATCAGCGCACCAGAGATGACTTTCTGTTTTATCAGACAGCATCAACACTTCACTGCCCTCGTAATTGTTTGTTTGTCCTAATGCAAAGCACAGATCCAGAGGGTAGGGCCAGAAACGACTCTGAAATTAATATCGGACAATGACTTTGGGCAAGCTTGCTAAAACCAGTAGATTGAGTAACAGAAGGCAAACAATTCTTTGAAAGCCTTGAGTGAAAGCCAGAATACAACCATTGTAATTTCATCTAATGTTTGTAAGGTGCCATAGAATATCACACTATTTCTACTAGCATCAGGGCAGTGATTGCATTGCTCCTGTTTTCAAAGCGTGTGTCCTTTGGGTGTGATAAAAGGCATGTTTTTGATGTCCCGTAAAAATATCATACTTATTTGTTCATGCATCACACACCTTCGTCACACGTTGGGAATATCTAAAAGTCAGGATACCGGGATGTTTCCTTATTTCATAGCCCATAGATATTTGGCAAACACGATGTGTGAAAAATCCTGGGCCCACGTTTTAATATGCGTCAGAAATTGCAGATGGTGTGGAAAACAACAGCACACTTCCTGATGTGAGTTTGCCTCTTAATTAGTCATCAAAATGGACAGTATGGTTTCTCGGTCATCTTTTGAGTGTGGTCAGTTTTCTTTTGGCCGGTGTAACATGTTAACATAACAAATTCTATAGCAAATTGTTTTGAAGTCTCTACTGCCGTCCAACACTAACCACATCTACCAAGAAATGAAGCAAGAGCTGGATGTCTCAGTTAAAAAAAACCCCAAAACCATCACTCAGACTCAATAATCTTTGATTTTTAGAGGGGGATTCACTCCTTAAGTTCTGCTATTAATATTTTAAAAAGAATTTAAGAACTGTGCAGTGTATTCGTCGCTCTTTAAAGTCGGTTGAAGGGCTGCTTTGACCTAGAAAGAGAGAGCAATTGACTTGGATCCCGGGAGTTTTGAATTGCAAGCCGCAATACTGTTTGAAAAAGAGCAACTGTTTGCAATTCAGATATAATCAAATACAGACACGCGGAAACCTGCAAAGCATTCCCTTCTGCATGCTTCTCGGCCATTTATAAATGCAAATTAAACCTTTTTTCTTTTGCTATTTTGGCCTCTAATATTGGTGACGTTGTTGTTGTGATCACATAGTTTTAAACAATTTGCATACTGCTTTTTTCCCCCCTGTTGGGATGGAATAGAATCAATAGCTGTATGTAATCTCTCCATCCCCCCCCCCCAATTTTCTTTAATCTGATTGCAAAAGAACAGCAACGATCAAAATTCTCAGCAATCATGACCAAATAGATCAAAAGCACCAGGCTGGGCCTGTCATACTTTTTTGAATGATTTTACTGCTGGGGACAGACTTTGTAAATGAGGCTGAAAGTCTTCATTTAGATGGTATATATCCATAGAACATTTAGTACACAAATGCACTGAAGGCAGTCAAACATTGTCAAACATCAAAAGAAAAAAAAGACAATTTAAAAAAAAGCACCTTTGGGACAACCATGATCTGGATGATTGAGAATCTTTACAGACTTTTAGCAGTCAAACTTTCTTGTGAATGAATATATTATTGTAGAATGAACAAAGGTTTACTGAATTTCCCCCCCCCCTGAATTTGGACAAGAAGGAACATAACCTTCTTGGAGTGATAGATTATACTTCATGGTAGTTCTACTACAGTTGCTTTTGTGTTTTGAACAAATGACAACTGTGACCATAACTGAGAATGTGTAAAGTAATATAATCTTACAGTGCCAAAAACCGTGACTGAGAATATCTTTTCCTGTGAAATAATTCAACAGTAGTTGCTAATTTACATTTCCGGTGGTGGGTCTAGTGAAATGAACACAGGCAATATTTTTACAGCTTTAATGCATAGAGATTCAGTTAAGCAATAAACCCAGCCTACTGGTTTATTACCAAACTTTGGGAAACCTGGGTTTATCTTTAATTCCTAGGCATACAGAGGGGGAGAAAAAAGTCAGTGATATTCTTATTTATTTATTTTATGTTTATTTGTCAACAAGTACAAGGAAACAAGTAGGAAAAACACATGAAAAAATGGCACAAATAAATGGATAAAAATAAGCAAAACATAGCCATAAACACCCAAAAAGAGTACATATAAATGGGACAGTAGGACAGGGATGGTAGGCATGCTGGTGCGCTTATGCACGCCCCCTTAGGGACCTCATAAGAAATGTGTAAGGTCCACGGTAGACAGCTTAAGCTTTAATTCTTATTAAACCCACTTGTATTTTAGTGATTGTTTGAAACCAAAATCAAAGTAGGGCTGCTAACTTAAATACCCTTAATAGAAATAATCTGAATTGAATCAGTGAAACTTAAAATGAATGCATTGAATCATGATGCCTATCTTTATGGAGGCATCTAATTCTTCATATGATATGATACACAGAATCATACTAAGCTATAATACTTTTCAGTTAAATTAGATGACAGCCATAAAACAGTTAGAAAAGTGTTAGCTTGTCAGCCCCGCTAAGTATATCAAACCAGGAAATCAAATCCACAGGAAGGCTAAAACTACTTTTACTGAGATTGGCTATATTAGCTGAATCTTGCAAGTCTCGTTGTGTTTTAACCTCTTCCTCCTCCTTGTACTTCAGTGAATCTGACCCACTTCTGAATGTTATCTCATAATTTAGGAATAAAAAAAATCCTTCAACCCCTTTTGCATATCTCCACATTTCTTACTCTCTACAAAGCAGGATTTTAATCTTTTTCTGGTCCTTGATCCTTTTGAATGTGGTGACCCCTTCTTTATGAAATTTCGGTGAAAATGAAATTGTATTTTTTCCCCATCCAAGTTCCTAGATTTTCTGAAACCTATCATGGACCTTGGGTTAAAAACTCCCGGGTTAGAATTTTCTGTATCTTTGAGACATCATACAGTGGTTATCGAGATTTTTGCTCGACATGGAAGAAGGAATGTGGGAATCTAAATGCTGGCTTTTCCAGCATCTTATAGTTAAAAGAAGTCTTGAAGAGTGTTGTATTGGAAAAAAAAAACATGGCCTGTTAAGGTGCTTTTACTATCTCAAACTGATCACAGAGAGTAAAAGTTTAAGTGTCATGATTAGGGTGATTACACTTTAATGTTTTGATATTATACTGCGTTATGAAACACATTGGATGGATATGGTGAACATACACATTGTGCTTAACCCATTTCATGAGTTTATAAGGATACAGTTGGGACTTTTTGTAGCTCCATAAGCCTTTCGAGAAAAGGTGATATGTGTGTGTGCTTATAGAACCCCCCCAACACAGCAACATTTGGCTTGTTTGCCATTGGAAATCAAAGCTGAATGAGATTATTGATATTATCACAATACTTTTATTATTGGACAAAGGACTAACTGGTACCTTATAGGTCCATTTGAAGCTGTGGCCTTGGAGTCGGCCATTGGCTCTCTGCAGCAGATTTTATTGAAGGTAAAAAATATACATTCCTTGGAGAAGAACTGCATTGGGAAACATCACCTGTAATATAATGCATGAAACCCATTGTGTGAGTCCTAGTAAGGGAATAAAATTGCTACTAAGGCAAGTCTGCTTAGTATAATATTTTTAAAATGTTTAATTTTTAAATTTTATATTTAAAATGTGTAATAGTATTTTTAAGGTTCAAGCTCACTTCAACAATCAAAGCATAGATGGAAAGTTCATGTAGCAGAAAGGTGTTTGCTTAAACTCTCTTCTTTCACAAACTGATTGGATGGCCTGCCTTCCCTAGTGTCTGTCTTAGATTGCAATCAGAACCATTGTTCTTTTACTGCAAGCCCCCTCTCCCCAGTAAATGTCATTTTTGAGAAAACATGCAAAGGGTTTAGAAAACCTCTATTGCTGATGTTGATTCATTTTTAAAGAATATTGTCCCAAATTAGTTCGTTCACATCAGCAAGATGTATATGGCACTATATGGCATCATGCAAGCATTTTGGGCTCTGACCAGAAAATCTTAGTTCAAACTTCTGCTTAAATCACCAAGCTTGTAGAGTACTTTCTTTATCACTTTTCTTTATCTCAACTGAGATTTTGGGGTTGATAGGATTAAGTGGGAGAGGAATGCATCTTGGCTTTAGCTTGGAGGAAGGATGAAATTATCATTATAACTTTTCATCCTGTGTGAATGGAGAGTAAAGGATGCCACTGAACAGATTTGGAAAGCACTTCCAGAGACTGTTTTCCTTATTTTGAGTGCCTG